TGTGTGTATGTGTGTGTAGTAATCCTTTTTAAGGTATTTTATGCCAATAAAGGTCAACTGAACTGAATACTAGCAACCTTTGTTTCTATATTAGCCAACTCAAATTCCGATTCCAGACGCTTGTCCGGGATCTCTTCCTTTTCCTCTCTTGTCCTCGAGTGCCTGGCCTGAAATTTACTAGAAAGTCACCCCGTAGCTTTATCAGGTCAGAGATCCGATGCCTGCCTCTGTCAATGGGAATTCAGAGGGGAAAGGCTTGAGGTGGAGAACTCCTTCTAAAATTGATATTATTGCTGGCCCCACAAACCTAGCTCCAGACTAATCCTATTAAATGCAGGTGGACCGAAGTGCAGTTTTTGTCCTGCGTACATTTCGAATCCGATGACATCAGTTTCCAGTAAATATGCATTGGCTTGAGCTGCTCAGGCTTAAAGGAAAGTGATCGCATTGCTCCTCGAAGGCCTTACATTCGAGTGTTAATCAAAATGGACCCAGAATCTCATCAGTCTATCCTCAGCAATTGCCAGGTAAGCGTCGATCATGTGCTCACAGGCCACTAAGCCCCAGGTTGAATTGAGTGGGCCTGACTTCCGAATCCCGCTGCTAGGCTGCAAGGTCTACGTATGCGCCTTTGAGCTGGAAAAGGTCCAGTAAAACCTTGTAAGGCGATCGGAGCGCAGCTCGAACTTCCTCTGCTGCGCGCACAGAGTGTCAGCGGTGCGCTGGGTTCCCTGCGTGGAAAAGAGCCCGCCCCATGGGCCAAACCACATTTCGAAGCCAGCAGAACAGAGCTTCAGTCGCAGCTCCGCTTCGCCCTCCCCGGTGAGCAGGAAAGGAAACCTCGGGGTTGGATAAGGCAATGTGACAACACGAAAGGCAGACTCCGCAGCGTCGGCCGGCCAGTGGCTCAGCCGTGCCCAGACAGCCCATTCCTAAGTGTTTATGTCAACAGCTGCGAGGCTGGGGAATTTAGAGTCCGGGAGAAAGTGGGGGGGGGGGGGAGTTACATTTCTGCCAGCGCCGGGGCCAGACTCTGCTCATCAAGTTGGAATTTGGAAAGCTCGCAACCATTTTTCACGCCGCGGATGTTTGCGCCTTCCTTTGGAAACGTCGAGTATTTATTGCTCCAATTACGGTTCGCTTTCTACCGGATTATTTTTAAATTTTTCCTTTCTACTTCGGGTGCCAACCAAGAACGCGTCTCAGTCGGATTCCTCTCTCACACACTCTCTCTAATAATCACATCTGCTTTGTGTCAAAAACCAGTTCAGAAACGATTCAACTTTTGCGTTCAAATCACGCCCCCCCCCCCCATCCAAGAGCCTCTTTCCCAGCGTCTTAGTAAACGCTCGGCGGGGCGGGGGTGTGTGTGTGTAACGAGGCAGCGTTGTTTCCGCGTGTTCAGGGGATGTAATTGATTCCGTTTACACACATCCAGCCAGTTGCCTCCGGGGCACCTCCCATTAGACGTGTGATGAAACCGTACCTTAAAAAAAAAAAAGACGCCTCCATGTCGTAAAAGGTAATATTCAATTATCTCGGCCTTTCTGAAAGCTTCGATTGGATCAGCCTAATAAATCGGGCCCCGGGTGGAAAATTCAATTACTGTCTCTGCTGCAAGGGGAAGGTTGGAGAGTTTCTCTCTCTTCAACACCCTGGCCCCCTGCAATAAATCTAGAGTCCCTTGCAAGATCCCCCCTGGTAACACCCTCAAAGCTCCTTTGCCCAAGGAATTTCCAGCGTGCAGATTTCCTGGTAATCCCTGACTCTGCTTGATTTATGCCCAAAAACTCCTTGCTTTATGAACCTCCACAGCCTTGTGGCTGCTTCTCCCCCGCCCCCAGGGCATTAAGGATCATTGGCCTCTCTGCTAAGCTACGGCCTACCCTTCTTCTAAAGAGAGAGACCAATTTTTAAAAAGTCGATAAAATATAATGGGAAAAGCCTGGGGAGGATGCGATGAGGGGGAATCTACAATATAAAGCGAACTGCATTCGGTGTTGTTGATGTTTAAACCTGGCTTCTTTTGGATCACCTTGTCAAATTCTTGCACCTCTGCAGGCTCTTGGGCCTAACGGTATAGTAAGAAACTTGCTTCCAGTTAATTGCCTGATTGGTGGCAATGTAACCTGTGAAGATTTGAAGATGGAGATGCAATGGGGGGAAGTGTGTAGCAATTTTACTCCTGAGTAGGTCCATTGACTCCAAGGTCAGTGGCATGTAGCTGCAGAGGCCAAGAGGCGGAGAAGGTTCACAGAACCAGCGAATGGGCTTGTGGCACAGAGACACACTAGCTGCCCTCTCTCTGCATCAGCTCAGATGGGAACATGGTGTTAATCTGACACAGAGCCTGTGTTAGGAATGGGAGGTCTGGCTGTGCACCCAGCAAGTCTGCCTGACTCCCCACCTACCTACGCCACCAGACCCGACTGTACAATGCTGAGTCTCATGATAAAGAAACAAAGGCCCCAGCATAGGCAAGATCCTCCAGTCAGCTGATTGGAGAGGCGCTCACAGCTCCCAAAGGGTTGGCCTTGTTATTAAAACTGGCCCAGACATCATCCCAGGCCTCTTTAAGTCACAAAAACCAGGATCCTGCTTCAAGGCAGGAAGTGCTTTTCTGACTCAAAAAACCCTCATCTCTGCCCTCGAAAGGTAAAATGGGGACAGATTGGGACAGTCTGAATGAACCCTTCCATAAAGAAAAAGCAATCTGTTTGTCTGGACTCGGATAGTTACCAGATGGGAAACACTACTTAAATAAATTGATCACTCCTTCCCCAAGGTGGAAGAAAAAGTTTCAGGCAACATTCACAAGCAATCTGAGGAGCATTGCAAGAAGCAACATATCAGCCATGTTGGAAACCTCCCCCTCCTTGAACCCTTCGGGTCTCTTCCAGCAAGTTTTGGCTTGGCAGGCACTTGTCTTTATACCTCTAAAACTACACAAGCCATTTCAGGTAGGCAGGGGTCAGACGCCCAAGCACTACTTCAGATGGACTGCCTAGAACAGCTGGTGCTTTGAAATCAGGTGACAGGTAGAAATGAGTGGTTCAAAAAAAGAAGAATGCAAGCCCTATGCTGTGTGTTTAGACTCGGTAGCAAATCCCCAGGATTTTAAATGGGACTTGATAGGCAGAAGAGCACACCTCTAGTGGTGACCCTGCACTTTGACCTGATAAGGAAAACAAGCACGTGTAGTTACTTGGGAGCAAGTCCCATTGAATTTCGTGAGAGTTATCTTTCAGGAAAACCTGTGTAGCAACCAGAGTAAATTAAAGTCCTCTTACTACCTTTGATTGAACCAGGATTTCCCTTTGACTTAGACCATTAGGGAAATGTCCTTGCTGTTTACTCCCTGGTGTAAACAATTAGTACCTTTATAAAAGACTTGGATAAAGGAAGAAACCAGGACATTGCTATGGAAACTTTGTATATAGTAAAAGTGCTAAAGCAGCATTAAATAACAGGAGGGTTTTAAAGATTTGGCTTTTTATTTAGAATGTATAATATGCATTTTTTCCTTTGACTGCTCACTGAAGGTTTGCTTTTCTTCAGAGTGGAGTTTAAGAAAAATGGAAACTAAATAAAATAAAGTTTGAAAGATTACAATTCTGAGTATTTCTTTGATCTTAACTCCCCCACCCCATAAATGGAAGATGTTCTTTTTCCCTTATAAAAAGAACTCCAAGTACTGACAGACCCACACACAATTAAACAAGTTTTTTTAATTTAATTCTAAATAAAAGAGATAAGAAATAATAAATCTTCAATAAAATATATAAAATTGTACAAGGCATCCCTTTCAAAGGGATTGTAGTAAGCTGAGTGGTAAAAGAGTGGAACTGAGCTAATTCGGCAGAATTTATAACACAGCCTGTAGTAGGGAAAAGACAAAAAAAAATCTTGTGGTTTCTTTCCTTTGTAACACCCTGGAGAAGTCCAGTCTTTAGTAATCTGCATCCTCCACAGACATTTTACCACTAAGTTTAGCCATACCACAATAATAAAACAATTAGAATAACAAAATGCAACCCTTTTCCTCCAAAATAAAAAGAAAAGGGGAAAGGGTCATTTTGCTGGTATGGGCAGCACCATCTTGTTCCCATAAGTTTTTTTTGGTTTGCTGGGTCTGTGTCTTTCAAGAAACATTTAAGTATAATTTATTCTTATATGCTAATAATGGTTAACACAATATGGCATCAATAAAAACAAAACGATGCTGCAACATAATTTCAATAGTCTCTCTTCATGTACACACACAGTTCTGAAAAGTAATGTATTCATACCTCTATTCTAATTTTTGCCTGGCATCAAATAGCCAAGTGTAAATTGTCTTGACTGTTAAGTGGCAATGGTTAACCAAACAAGGGAGAGTAGAGTCAAGACAAAGCTCTTACAACCTACCCTCTTCCTTGGCTGCTGTAGACCCATCCTTACATGTCATTCTAGAAACAAGAATAAACTGTCAGCTAAAGGTTGGCAAAATCATTATTCATTTCACGCCTTCTCAGGCTATTCCTTTTCCACTGAATCAGTCCCATTTATTTCTGCTCTACAGCAAATATTAGGGAATTGTTTTTAAGAACTGTATTCTAAAACCTAATGATTGTTCTACTGGACCCAATGCTCATCTAGTCCAGAATTTTTAATTTCTAATATCCCAGCTGCTTAAAATATAATTTATGGAACACAGTGGAGGCTAAGGCCCATGAGGAAATATGGAGAGCAGCTCAGTTTGCCCTGTCTTACATTTGTTTCTCTTAACATTGATTTTTACTTCTGAAGTTGGTATTCAAAACAAAGCACAATTACCAGTCAATCTTTAAACTTCCCCTACCCAGTCACAACAAATCGAAGCCTGCATTCCAACATACCCATACACACACACTCTCTAAATGGGAACAACTGCCATTGCATACAGTGGGACTTCTGAAAATATGTGCATAGGATCTGGCTGAAAATTTCTTCATTGTAAAGGATGATGTGCTCCTATTTTTAAAAGGCCCACATCTCAGTATTCCACAGGGAACGTCATAAGGAAACAAATACGGTATGCCCTGAAAACACATGATTTAAGTTTGAGCCCTTCTCCCTCCCAACCCCCTGCAGTATATAAACAAACTATATTAGTTTAAGCATTCAGGAAAAAAACAAAACACCTTTCTTTCAGGATCAGTTTTTGAGAGTTGAGATCACACCTGGCTGGTTCCCCAACCTGCAGAACACAGGCTCTGCTTTACTTTCAAACTCCTATATACTTGATAAGGCACATACAAGCATGCAGGAAAACAACCAGTACTGGTTTTTTGTACTGCACTCTTGGACGGGGCAAGATCCACCAGGAAGTCTATATAGCATTGCCGTGATACTTTCCCATCTTCTTACGATAAGTGGTACATGCTATATCCGACAGGAGTAGCATAGAGTCCTACAGGTGGGATGGGAAGCACAGGTCTATGAAAGGGATATGACGTTCCATAGAGCGAGGCGGCCTGGATGGGGGAGTTGATGGGGAAAGGGAGGCTGAAGCCAGAAGGCAACATGGGCTTGGCAGCCATTTTTAGCTTTTCCAGCTCGGCTTCTTGCAGTCTCTTTGCCTTGGCCCTTCGGTTTTGGAACCAGATTTTGACTTGGGTCTCTGTGAGGTTAAGAGAGCTGGAGAACTCGGCTCTTTCAGCAATTGAAAGGTACTGCTTCTGCCGGAATTTACGTTCTAAAGCCAGCAGCTGAGAGGTGGTAAAAGGTGTTCGAGGCTTCCGATTGGTCTTGTGCTTTCTCAGTGTACAGGCTGTGGGACTCAGGTGCCCTGAAAATAAAAACAAAGATCAGTTACCCTCCCAAAAAAGGGATAAACAATACCTGTCAAAAATTAGACATGCATCAGATTGCGGAACACCCTGTTTACATGTGGTTACATTGGTTTCACAGCATGGGAATGAGAGCGCATTGCAAATTTAGACTGTATGTATTTTTGTTCAAAAATGGAAAATGCAACTAATGAATTATGCTACTGTTTATAACTTATTGTCAGTTCATAATGCAGATGTCCTAAGAGTGGTTTTAGCAAAATTTATGAAAGTATCGCAGTGGATCAATGAAAGGGTTTAGCCAGATTGCTGTATTCTCCACTATTATTGATCCCCTCATACAAAAGTAGCAAACCTGGATTGGCTGTCCCCCAGGGAGTGGCAACTAATCCTGACTCCCTGATTGGTGCTATGGTAAGATACATGCTTGTCACATCGACCCTGTAAAACATAAACTGGAAACAGAAGACCAATGTGTTTAAAAATGTTTCAAAACTGGGAAGACTGGGAATTGTGTAGGTGTACTGGGAGGTATTCCTTTTGCTAAGGCATGTGCCTCACATCAGTGGGATTTCAGTGAGCAATTCACTGTTTCTGTAAAGGGTTTCAAATGGTATTCTGGACAGAGTCCTACCCTAAATTTTAAATTCCAGTTTGACCATTACTATTATAGCAAAGGTGTGCCAGAATGAAACAATAAACATCATTATGGGAGTGACATTGGCCAGAATGTTCTTGAGATAGCATTGTTACTTTCAGCTGTAGCTATGTACCTCTCTGGAAGTACCCAAGGGTTTCCAGCCCCACCGCCAGAGAGGACAATCCACCCTGCATCTCATCCAGATGAATGCTCTACCTTGCTGAGGTGAATGGATTGCCAACCACCTGTATTTTCTGCCAACATTCTGCACATAGTCTCTGGTGAGAAGATCTGCATTTCTTAAGAACATCTAGAAGCCTCTCATCTCACTATAGCATGTGTGTCAGTGAGACATGAAGAAACAAAGAGGTCTACAGATCACTACTGGAAAAGAATATAGATGGGGAACAGATTAGTAAAAGAATTGACTATAAATTAGAAATCAGAAGGGGTAGAAAGAAATGCATCCCTAGCCACTACTCACTAGGATTTATTCACTGTGAATAGCATCTTTGATCACACATTTTTGTTGAAACTTTGCCCGAGGACACGGAAATAGGTCTGGAAAGGGACTCCCCCTGTCTCTGTGCACTGCTAAAACTTTCAATGAAATCTATGGTAGACTTGTGATCTGTGACGAGAGACAAGACCAAGGGAAAGGGAGGCTGACATGTGGAGTCAACATACAGCCTTTACGACACATGTTAAAACTTTAAAAATATACAGCAACAAAACATCTGTAGCTAATAGAAGAAGAGGGATTTGTTTAATATCTTGTTCCATTACAACTCTGTAATTTACAAAGTAATAGAGCAGACTTTCCTTAGCACTATCTCAGTGGCCATGAGGCACACTGGCTTCACTGGGACTTAGCTTGTGCTGAACATCACACAATGCAAACCTACAAAGAGTTATCCCACTCTATTGGAATCAATAGATGGGAGTAACTCTACTAGGATTGCACTGACAGTGTTAAAGAAAAACTCAATTATGAAAAAAGTTTTACTTAAAAGATTAAGAAGCATACCAACCCAAGACATTGGCATTATTGAAAATGAATATAGTAGTAACAATGACTGCCCCCCCTTTCCTGTGTTCTCTTTTAGAATGTAAAAAGGACTTTGGAAATATAAAACACAGTACAGCTACAATAATATGAACTAATACAGAATAAATCCTACTTAAACCAGTGTGGCTTACAATGAAACATCAATGCTTAGGGTCAGGTTGCTAGTTAAACTTTACCTATAAGCCCCAAAGAACTTCAGAGTAAAAATGCTTGAAATAATGCAATGGGGGGTGTTACTGGAATATGGTATGTGAAATTTTCAGTTTCACTCCTCACCCCACTTAAAGCAAAGCCTAGGATAATTTATTAATAACTACACTCTGTGATGCTGAGGGAGGCTAGTAACTATAAAGGTGATTTCTGTGTTTTCCGGTGAAAATTTGAATTTGCTCAAAATACAAAATATCTCCATATCATACATTGTTTATCAAGTGCACAATGTTGTCAACACATGGCAATTGTGGAAAAGTTATTTATAATGTGACTTCTGTAGAACACATTTCACATTTTGATATGCATAGGAATGTATCTTTATCTCAGTTTACTGTGAGCTTTTAAGCCAAAAGCTCTTCAAATGTGCACTTAACTATAAGTGTTTCATTGAGGTTTTGTGAAGTAAACAATCTATCACAGGTATATGTGGACACGGAAACTGAGGTATGTCTGATTTTGTAGAGTCTTGGCCTTTATTTGCTATATATTGGAATTATTCTAACACTAAATGTGAAGTTCAGCAACAGATACTGTAACAAGTTTAGAAGGATATAGGTATATTACAGATTCTCTGTTCTGGAGATGAAATGATTAAATTTGTGTGACTTTGTAACTTTGATCTAATATAAAAATGAAACAAACAACACAGGCTAAATGCCTTTTTAAAAAGACAACAGAGGAAGCAACCGCATAACAACATGTGTTTCAGAAACCTAATTTTTGTATGCCATCATCTATGTAATCCTTTGTAATGGCCTTCTAACCAAGCCTGTCACCTGTAAGTCTTTCTATGGTTACTTATTTCTCTTTCAACTTCTTTCAAACTATATCCCTGTATTTCTTCTGCTGGATACCATGTTTCCCCTGCAAAAAAGACTGAAAGCCCTGAAGTTCACTTTATTATATGCACACTGAAGTATTTTAAATAACTGACTAGGAAGGTATTCCCTGTACTTCATACCACAACTTGTTAGCATTGGTTTTTTTAAATAATAATAATCCCCAGATAACGTTTAGATTGTCCAAAGAAGATGCATTATCACCAAGGAATCAGTTTTTCTCTACAAGTGAATGGATACAACTGAGAGACAATGAGACCTAAGGACCACAGATAGGTTTATAAAAATCTTTGGAGTCATTTAAAAAGTCACAGACTCTGAAGAATAAAAATTCTATTCTCAGAAAGCATCAGTGTTTTACCCCATCACTTCTCTTGAAGAGGAAGAGAGAGAGAAAAAAAAAGAATGGTCACCCTGATGTTCTACTGAATTCAACCAAACAATTACTGGAGGAAAGGGCATTTAGATTATTTTTACACACTTGACCTAAGTCAACTCCATGTTTTCAACCCCTCAAGTAAATATCCGAGGGGGGGGGGGATGACAAAATAGCAACAACTTATTCTGTTCAGATTTAGAATACCCAGCAGTTTACAGTGATGGCACAGGAAAATTTGTCAGTACATCTTCTCAATTACACTACTGTTCAGATTGTATCTTCTTAAGTACTGTTTCCAGGACAAACGTAATAAACAGTAAGCACTGTTCAGATTGAGAATTATCACCAGGTTTTGATAGTTTTGGGGAAATGGCTACCAAGCAGCAATCCTAAACATACTTAACTGGGAGAGGGTCCCATTTACCTAAATGGATATGCATCTGCTTTCACTGGCAGAGGGTCCCATTGAACTAAATGGATGGACATCTGCTTTCACTTGCCTAGAACTGGGCTACTTCTAAGGCTACAGGCTCATCCATGCTCACTTGGGACAATTTATATCAATGGGATATTTCCTCAATAAACACACACAGGATCTGGCAAGAGGCCACAGAAACCTAGAGAAGGAAAAGGGAACTAGGCCTTGATTTTCTGCATAGAGGCTTTGCTGGAAAAGCAAAAAACAACAACCAGAAATAGAAACATAGACATTAGTATAGCAATGCTTCTCTATGTTTCCCACAACAAATGCCCTTTCTGGGGTTTTGTACATGACTGGAAAGCAATATCATATATTTTGTTCCTGAAAATGCTTGGAAGCGTTTATAAGTAAGTTCATTTTTTAAATCTTTTATCACTTCTCCCCTGCATGTCCCTAATATAACTTCAATATATAGTCAGGTTAGCCTTCTGCTCCAATAAAGCAATGGATGTGGCAGAAATGGATAAAGACACTGTTAAACTTCCTGCTAGAATGGAGAAGGAACTTTTCTCTCTCCTTTCCATGAAAGTGAACTTGACTTATTAACTATTACTGGAACATGATCCAACCGTTTTTCTGTAGAAGTGGAATTACTGTATGTCTTCTTTTTGGAGCAATGCCTTACCTTTCCAGTTCATACAAATAAAGCTTTTATCAGTATTTTCTGATCCTGACTGCATGCTAATTAATAACTTGAAAGAGCCATTAAGACCAAAGGGATGGGTTACTTTTTCATCGGTTATCGTTTGCTCCCTGTGTCTCCTAAGTAGGAGATGAAACTGGAGGACAATATAGGTTGTTTTATATCTGCACTCTTGCGGGCACATCGGTATCCAAGGAAAAGGGCATCAAAGTCGGGAAGCAAGGCGCAGAAAGTGAAAAGTGGAACCGGGAGGGTCGAAGAAGCCCCTGAAAGAAACCGCTTCGAACAAGATGTGAAAACCCAGATCCCAGGAAACAGCCGTTCCAAGACTGAAAACGGGCGGCCCAGTTTGGCCCAAGAACCCGACTGGAAAAGGGACGTTCGGTGCGCGACGGGGAGTTACCGGCTGCTGTCCGCGGTTATCGATCAGTCGCCGGGCCGAGCCGAGCGAGCCAACGGAGGTGCGCTCCGGCGCCTCCAGGCAGCCCTCTGCGAGCAGGTGCACCAGAGCCCGGCCCCAGAAGGCGATGATGCTAATCGCGCTCCCGTCTCCCGACAGGGCAAAGCCGGCGAGTCTGCCGAACCCGCTTCCCAGGCTGCACACCGCGCCGAGTCCCTTCCCCCCGCAGCTAAAAGGCCCGCGAAAGGGCACCCATCGGTCTCGGAAGGAGCTCACTTTCCCAAACGCGCCATCTCGTTGGGGGGGACGGCGCCGGAGTGGGTGGGGGACGGCGACGGCAATCGCCGCGGGCCTCGGGGGTCTCCCGGGGGGCAGTTCCGGGCGCGGGTGAAAAATGCCCCGCCTCGAGAAGACCCGTGCCCGTAGCGCCGGCAAAGACTTTTCGAATTGACTCGTTTCTTTTTCACCAGGGCGTCGAGGGGTCCCCTCCGAACGGCAGGATATTCTCCCTGGGCCGCAGGCATCGCTGCCTGGCGACCCCCCTCCCTTTGAAACCCGGCCGCGGTTTCCCGCGAGCTGCCTGTGCCTGCCCGGGGCTCTGGACTCCGGACCCTGGACTGCCAGCGCTCCTTCTTAGCATTCAGTCCTCCCCTCCCCCGCCCGCCCGCCCGCCCGCCCCGAGTCCTTTCAGGCTCTCCTCTCCCCTCCCAGCCGGCTTCGCCGACGCCGACCCCGGTCTCCCGGGCCAGCAACACTCACTTGGGGGCGGGGAGTATCTGCCGGCCTCCGGGATCCACGACGACCCATCCTCGGAGTTCTCGGACTTCACCGACGAGGTCTCGAAGGTTTTCGTGAGCCCCCCGGGGCTGGGCGCTTCCCTGGAGCCGTGGCCGGGCAAGAGCAGGGGCCTGGACGTCCCCAAGCCGGCCCCCTCCAGGCCCGCGCTGGCCTCTCGGGGGGGCTTCTTGTCGGACATGAGCGCCTCCACGCTGAACGGCAAGCTGGAGACCTTGACTTTGCGGTGCTCCTCGGCCCCGGCGGCGGGCCCCTCTTCGTCTGAGGAGAAGACCTCCTTCGCCTTGGCCGGAGAAGACATCGCGGCGCCCAAGGATCCCTGCCCAGAGGAGCTGCCGGCACGGCCCCGCGTCCCCCCGCCGCCGCCTGCTCTGCGCCACTCAAGCAGCCGCTGGCTCAGGAGGCGCCCGCCCGTCCGCTCCGCTCCGCTCGCATCCAGCGCAACAGCCCAGCAAACTTTTTTTCCTCCCCCTTTTTGGGAGCCTTCTGGCCGTTTCCTCCTTTGGGAAGTTGAGTAAGCGCGGCAGGGCCAATGAGAGAGGCGTCAGGCAGTGACGTCAGGCGATGACTCAGGCCATTGGCTCCGAACGGCTGGGAGCCTAGATTCTTTTTTTTTTTTTCCCCTTTTAAATAAATTAGAAGTTAATGACATGGGCAGCGAACGGAGCTGTGTTATTAGGGCGCTTTCCAGCGCTGTAACTCTGCCAAAACAGGAAAGTCACTGGAGTAATTAGGGCTGATGAGATGAAGAGGAAATTCTGAGAGCGCAGACCTCTCCCTCTCCCCCCTCCCGCTCATGAAAAAAATCTATGCAAAGATCTGCCAGGAAGCCCCTCTACTGGAAACGGGGAGGGGGGGGCCTCTCGACACTGATGCCATCAGTCTATGATCAAAGCCCACCTCCTGTATGGCGTGAGCTGGACGACGATGCCAAAACCGTCTTACCAGGCAGGCCCACCACCAGTATATTTGCTCTTCCTTACAAGACAAGAGTTGCCAGCCGCAGGGAAGGGTGATCCTAGGAAGCGATGGCAACCAGAAACTGCGCGTTTCAGTTCCAGGCTGCGGGGTGAACCGAGATAAGCAACGCTTGGTGGGTGGTGGGTGCCCTTTACGAAATAACTTGGTTGCCAGAGGCCCTGGCTCCAGAACAATGGGGGAACAGAAGGATGGGGCGCCCTGGATTTCATGGAACTGGAAGCCACACCGAGGTCTCAGACATGGGGATTCACTGGCTTTTAACGCAGTGAATGAAATAGACGCACCCCGTCTACATCCGGCGGGGGGGTCTCTCCAAACTCTGACTGCGTCGTCAGATGCCAACAACCCCTCTTCAAACCAGTTAGTTGAATGGGTCGCTTTAATAATCAGGAAGAACCCCTCGCCTCCGTAACCCCCCCCCCCCATGTATACGAACCAATTAAATGCCCGAGAAAGAAAGAGGATTGCTTTAGAAAAATAATAATGATTATGCTGCTAATGTAATTTGCAGGCGCCTAGCCCTTGATGACAAACAGATGCATTTGTCAGAAGCCGGCGGAGTCTCGAGTCTCGGCTCCTTCATCTGCGAGCGCATCAAACAGCCCGGAGGACTGCAGAGCTGTCCCACTTTACAACTTCAGCCTATTAAAGCGAACAAGGTGCATTAATGTAATGGGAAGGCATTTCAATTACCACCCCGAGAAAAGCAAATCATTTGGGCTACATAATTAATTTAATCTCGTAATGATAGCTATTTAATTAGCTGTTGATAACCATTGTTGTTGTTACTCAAACGTTCGGGCTTGGGAAAGATGTGGAAGTATAAAACTCCTGCTGGGGAAGACGAGAACCTGAGACACAGTGAAAGTTCTGGTCTATTTAGCTCTTTAGATTATATATATATAATCACTGTAGATCTCTAGCCTAATGCCCTACTTATAGCCATTTCTTTGAAATATCCTTTCGAGTTTCCAATGGTTTGGTAAGAATCGGTGTGTTTGTGTAGCCTCCCTGCATTGGGGAGACACTAGATCGGCCCCTGTTAGACTCATATCGGAACTGGCACTATATTTTCAGGCATGCATGCGCGGTGGATACTAGAAAACATCTTTTTGAAATGATCGCAACCCTTGCACTAAACAACTTCAGGGCTTAGAAGCGGAATCGGAGTATCCAGGATGTCCTTTGTGCCCCTGGAATTTCACCTTCCCTTTAACCGAAGACACTCCTAGTTATTCGAGTTATCCAATGTTTTGTGCACTCTTCGCCCTTTATGAAATTGACACGGTTGTACAGCAGTCGCATCCTCTCTGGATCTGCTGCAAGCTCTTTCTCCCGCGTGATCAATAATGCTGTTGGGGGGGGGATTAATAATGCAATAGACAAGGTATTGAGGATTGCAGGGTCCTTGAACAGTATCCAGGATTCGGGGGTTACACTTGCTCTGCTCTGCAGGGGCTTGGCAGATGCCGACCCACCCCACATCCAGACCTGAATCGGAAGCCATCTCTGGGAATAAAGACTCAGAGAGAAAAAGAACGAAACGTTCTCTGGGGTGTGATCCACCTCCCCTTTGAGACAGTGTCAGAGTTCCACTTTATTTAAATCTAGCTGGCTAGCTTTTAAAGGGCCACGACGGACAAAGAGCGGGAGTTCTAGGGAGGATAAAAAAAATACTATGGAGGCAGTTCTCTGAACTCTTTACACAGCCATTGAATTAAATGGGCCTCGCCGGGCAGTCCCAAAGATGCGCCCGCAGAAGTAAATCCCACAGAGTCCCAATAGTTAGTGTATCTGGGATTGCAGCCTAAACACGGAGTAAGCAACAAAGATGCTAAGGGAAATCTCCTCGTATTCATGCAAGCCTTCCAGCCCTAAACACAGATGTCCTTTATTATGGTGGGAACTTACTTAAAAGTTTGCAAACTCAGATCAGCCCGTGCAAGTTTTCCATCACTCCCTTCAGGTTCTTGGCATCGTCTGGCAAATGATCAGGTCTCTGAATCAAATAGCCTGTGTAACCCCCGAGTCTCATACACCCCCTGTCAAAATCACTTCCAAGGACCTCAGGCCTAATCTTCACTTTAGGACAGCAATTTAGACGGGCATTACTTCCCAAGCGCATTTCCAGATACGGTGGAGCATGCAGAACATTAAAGAATCTAATGCAGAAGGCCAGAGAAAAACACATACTAATTCTACCCCCCATGCTTTCCCCCCAGTGAGCCCCGCATTTAATCTGTTCATTAAAAAACAAACAAACAAACTACAGATTGCAAAATGCATAGAAAGTGAACCGGAGAGGGATTTCGAGAGCGACTCTTTGGTCCGGTGGCTTTGAAAAGGAATGGCTCTCATGCTTCCGGCAAGTCTGTACCGTACCCTGCTTTTCCTCCCCTTCATGACAGGTAAATGAGAATGGATGAAAATAAAGAAACAATGTGTGTAAACAGGGAACAATGAAGCGCTAGTGCCGCTCGGCCGAAGTGCTACAGATAATTACACCGAATCAATGCAACGTTTCTACCCCTGAAGAATGGGAGCAGGCTTGAGGTCAGGTCACAGCGACCTGGTTTGACAGAAGTGGGAAGCACGTTTTCAGACGGACACGTGAATTCCTCGGGGCCTTCTCGTCCTTTCCTTGTTTTCGGTATGATGCCCTGTGGAAGGCAAATGGTTTGGTTTTAAGTGCTACTTAACTGATACCGTACATTTCTTGTTACAAGTCTCCGTGATTTCAAAGGGCCAGCATGAATTCTCATGATCCTCCGAAGTCACTGATGCAGCTGTTTAGAGGACTTGTAGGTATGCTTGCCTCTCTCCTTATTTACATTTGTGCTGTCCTGTCATACTCTATGCGGGTCCCATTGAGTGCAATAGGCAACCTTCCTCCCTAGGAAGAATGTGCCTTGGAGTGGTCAGAAACACCTGTCTGGAATATATTTATTTCTCATCAAGTCCCAAGGCGGATCACAAGATACATTAAATTGTAATCAGACAGGATCTCAATAAACAATGCAGTAGGGCTAGGATTACAAAAGTTAGGACAACATGCAAAAAAGGGGAAAGGTATCAGACATGGTATATCATTAACAACGCAGAAAATTGAATTGCAGAAGTAGAAGACAATGCAGTAAGAACAGGATAAAAAATACAATTAACCTCGGTATAGTCCGGAATTCTGTTCCTTTCGCAAAGAAGCCTGTTCCTGAATTATTCCATTATAACAAAGTTTGAGTCCAGTGGCACCTTTAAGACCAAAAAAGGTTCATTCTGGATAGAAGCTTTCGGGTGCAGGCAGCTTATACCCAGAATGAAACTTGGTTGGTCTTAAAGGTGCCACTGGACTCAAACTTTATTCTGCCTCTTCAGACCAACACGGCTCCGCATGCTGAATAATTCCATTATAGTACAGCCCATTATCAAAATGCCCTCCCTGAACAATGCTGTTCGACAGAACCTACGGAATGCTTAGAAGTGTCGGCCTCTTCAGGGGAGCCACCACAGAGGAGAGCATGTTACAGGGCAGCAATCGGTCTTACCCATTCAGCTGATCTCGATGGTTTCCCATAGTCCCAGAATCTTCGGCTTAATTGAATTCGCTGAGAAGCGAATTTCGTTGAGCTATTTTCATAGCTACGTATGTCCCAGTTGAGTGTGCCTAGGATCACAGCTGTCAAGCCTAGCGCGGTATTCGTCAGGTCTGTAAAGGTGGCTGGCTGGTGGGTATTAGGGCGGAAGATCGCAGGCTGCAGTCCTGAGACTTGGGAGGAAGTCTCGATAGGTTCAGGCTGCTAACTTTGAGATCGTTGACTTTTCTTTATCCGTCCTGCCTACTAGGCCAACTTGCCACCAGGTCCACAACCTAAGGCACTCCTGTCTGCACACTTACTTGAGAGTCAGCCCCACAGAGGGACTGACTTCTGAGTAAATGTGCATAGGACCCAACCTGGATTTAGAGAACAAAAGTAAATGTCCTTTTTTAAAAATCCGTGTTAGAATCTGGGGGAGGACTTGGTTCCAGATGTGCATTGACTGCAAGCGAACAGCTTTCAGGCAAACAGGAGAATAACCAACACACGAAAATAACCGAGCATCAATCCAGGGACTTTCTATTCCTGAAAATAATCATTTTATTCTGAACTCTAAAGGATCACCTGTATCTGCAGGTACAGGTATGGAGGACTCCCTTTAAAAAGCCTTGAAATCATTTGTTTTAGCGCTTCTGAAGTACCTCCAGTGTATTTATTCCTGCAACCAGTCTGAGAAGGAGCTGCAGTCCTAACCCTCCTGGACCTTTGTGCCCTTTATTGTCTCTCTATTTTTATTATTGTTGTTGTTATCATCAATAACAACAATAACTTGGCTAGATCTCGCACTGACGAACACCATCTACCAGTCAAATAACTGACTGTGACAATTCCTAATAACAACAACAA